CTGCCTATCGTGACTCGGCACAAAAATTTAAAATATTGGTTCCGTACATCATGCGGACTGCGCCCCTCATGCGGATGGGCGGGAATGGAGGGTAAAAACCGTTGGGATATTATTATTATTTATTTTTTAGATTTTTTGTTTGAGTATGCAGTTTAATAGCCCATTAAAATCTAGGGTAATAATGTGCAAGTCTTAAGTTGCTAAAGAATAGCGTCAATTTTTAATAAATTTTTTCTGAATTCATGAAGTTTTTTTTCCCATACAAAAAAAAAATTTCGAATTTATTTTATATGGGAAAAATTTTTAATGCTAGACTTTTATGGAAAAATAATAAACATTAAATAAACAAAAGCCAAATAGCCGAAATTGAGCAAAATGTTGCTGGCTTAATAAGCTGATCACAAGCGTATGTATAACATCTCGTGGTATATGCTAAATAAGCTGGTGTATAATATTTTTTATTTTATTTTAATTAAAGACTTGAAAAAAAAGGACACATCAAGCTCTCCAATTTGGATATCGGAGGAACTGCAACCATGGACTAACCAAAATGGCATAACTAAATTCAAAAAGATAGCAGCATTGTATTCTGAATTCATTGCACTTTCGGAAAGCGGAGATCTATACCAGTGGAAATGGTCAGAAATGGAGCCTTACAAATCCGAGGTAATTTTAAATTAAAAAACTTTAGTGACATTAAAAAATACTTATCTACGTTCATATAGCTAATTTAATGATGATGTCCAGAATCGTAGTGATAAATACTGCAGTCGTAACCTGGTGGTAGGAATAGAAATTAGATTTAATATACAGGTCCTTTTCCAGTATATCATGTACGAAACAATTTCTGCCGAAAAGTCTATTTAGGGAAAGTTGATAACGGTTTGCGAGTCAAAGTGTTCTCCCATTTTGCTCGTTGTTTTGGGAAAAAGGCAAAGAAACCATGTGATCCTTACATTCTAATAATACGACGGGAAATATTTTTGTGAAATATTTTAAACCTCTGGTCCTTTTTTACAGAAAAGGGCAAAATAAATACGCTTACCGCGGGTTAAAATGTTCCACAAAACTATATAGTAGACAAATATATTTGTGGTACATTTTAACCCTAAATGCACATATGTATATACGCTAGACCGTTTGTAAAAAAAAAATTTGTTTTGCCGGGCGGAAAAAGATGTCCTTTGGTCTAAAAATAAGCTGTGAAAAATTTTATTCGAATATAATAACTCTAATGACTTAGAAAACCATATGTATTCAGGGCAAAAGTGTTTAACAAAATAGTTGAAAATCCCGAATTTTATAGTCATTTGCTGTATAAAATAACTCACAGAATCTGAATACGCGGTCAAAAATAAAAAAGTAGAATAGGTTTTAAGAATTTGCGAAATTTTCTTTTTTTCAAGTTGAGAAAAAAGCATTTTAAATTTTTTCCAAAAATATCCGGTTCCGATTCTCACATCGCAAAAAGCTCTCCACCAGATTAAAGGTCTTTGAAGTCCCTTTGATTGCAATCAAATTACCAGTTTAAGAGTTATCTGCAAATTTATGGGTGAAATCGGACACAATTTTAAGTCACATCGTTATTCTACTGTGAATTACACCTAAAAGCTGCAAACTTTTTGCATTTTTATGCTATATTAAAGCTTTTTTAATTTCAAAGTATATAGATCCAAATCTTTTGCTAATCGCTTTGAAAATAGAAAAGTTTTAGCAAATTTAGTAAATGATATTGGATTGAAGCAACATATCGATACTGTAAAATCAATTAAAATATAATTTCCATTGGCCTGATTATGCATATCGTAATTAGAAAAACAAAAGTTTTGTTTTATTAAACAATAGTTTGTAACAATTGTTACGAATTATTTTCCCTAGCTGACAAAAAAGTTAAAATAAAATTTTGCACGGCCTATTTTTAGACCAAAATACATCTTTTTCCGGCCGGCGCACAGTGTAAGATTTTACCCATCTAGCTGCTTTTAATTCTGTAATTCGAAAACTATTGAAGATAGATTTTTACAAAAAATTGGTAATTTATAGTTACTGTCACGCCACCCTATTATATAACTGCAATTTTAAAAAATGCAAAAACTGAAATATTTAACTAACTACAAAGGCTAAAATGCCCAAAATTTATATTTAGAATTTCCCTATAACAAGGAATTATAAACTGACAGAAATGGGTTTAAAAATAAATATATATATTTTTTTAATTATGGGCGTGGAAAATATCGATAAAAAAGTCAAGTTGGGTCAACAAAATCCTGTTATAAGTTCAATATTTCTTGCTCTATTTACAAAAATGGGATACCATTGGAAATGTAATGAATCAGGCTTTCTCTATTCAACGCAAAAATAAAGAATTTGTCTCGGTCGAGATAAAATGCAAATGAATTACTCGAAGAAAATGAAATTCCCAGTAGGCCAGAAAAAAATAAAATTTCATCAAAACCTGCACTTTCCAGCGGCTAAAATTGTGTTGTTTAAAGTCTTAGAGGAGTGGCAAATAAACTGAGATACAAACTTTATCGAATAGTGGCGGATAACGAGTTTTCGGGTCTAATAAAAATAATAATTTGTTAAAAATAAGTCTAAGTCAACATCGTTTTACTTTAACATGAAATACTCAGTCCTAGTTTACTAAATTCCCAAAAACGTATATTCATTGAAAAGACCATACCTAAAAAAATAAGACCAAAATGATATTTTAGCAATTGTTGCATAAATCACATAACACCGACAAATTAAACATTGAGATTCCGTTTCAAATATACAAGTTTAAATATTATTGCGCTCAGTAATTTTCCAAATCAAACCCCGTCCCGCCATACACTTTGATTTAAATTTTTTAGTTGTTATTGTTTCGTCTTTATCAGGCATTTCTAAAAACATTCTTGACGTTGTTTTGAAATTCGGCGACATAAAATAATGTAATTAATCTTTTCTAGAATATGGAAATGATACACTGTGCGGCGAACTGTATATTTAAAAAAAAAAAAAGTTGAAACAACGGACGGTCTAATTAATGTACACCTGCGTTCAACTATTTAGCACTGAAATTCAAAATATATTGTTTGCATTTATGTTTATGTATTTGTTTTTTATAATTTTTATTTAAAATATAATTCAATCTATATCAGAAACCACACAAATGAAAGTTTCAAAGGTTGCACAAAGAAACAAAAGCTAAACTTCAATTTCTAAATTTTTAATCAGAATAATCAGAATTCCAGTTTTAAGTCGCTAAAAGTTACAATTGATTTTTTAGATCTTTTTGCTTGTGTAGGGTTTTGCGGATATTTTTCATATAAAAATAGATTTTGATATTGCGTTATATGGAAGAAAATGCGCAACACCTTCCACGATGAAAATTCTAAAAAACCAAATGTAATTTTTAGCGACTTGAAACTTGCACTTCATTTGACTACACTGTACACCCAAAAAATTCAATCAGTGATCGATGTTTAGCTCAAATGCGTTATGTATCCATCTAATTTGTTCGCGCAGCATTTCGCCACTAACGTCGCACAAAGCAGGGGCCTGTAACACAAGCGCTACAAGTCCTACAAGTGTTATAAATTAGACAAGTGCAGATACTTTGTAACACAAAGCAACTTTTAGGTACAAGTGCCGTACTTGTAATTGCAGAACTTTTTGTACAATTGTAGTCTATTTCCGTAACACAACTAACACACTTGTACAGTTGTGTTTCGGATTTTTCTACAACTGTAAAAAATTTTCTACCTATCTCCAACGCTGACAAGATTCAGTTTAGTGAAGTATTTTGCCATTAGCATACCATTTTTCTCTCGATATGTGAGAGACTGAATACTTTCTTCCTGGGAGACGCAAAATTTTTGGAAAGGTTCAGAATGAATCGAGAATAGTGTAAAACTGTGCTTGAAGATTTAGGCCCAGTAATCATGAATAAAACAATTCGATGCTACGGTTTCATAGAATTTCTTTATTTTCTTTAACTTTTTGTAAATAATGAAACTTTTTTGAACATTATTTGTTTTGCAGCCATATTTAAGTAATAACATATGTTTTATTTTTCACGGCAAGTGCTATACGTCCGCCGAAAACAAATGCTCGTAATAGAGCTCTTGTTAATAGGGACACCAATTTCGATACGATACTACATCGATATTTTTTACATTCGATACCGATACTTTTTAATCGATAGTTTTCAAATGATATTTTTTGGAATCGAGTACCAGAACCCTGTATCGAATCGAATCGCAAAGCCGCATTGTAAAGTTAATGTATCTGACGTCACGTTACAAGACATTACGCTACTAAAATCTCCATTGAAACTTTTTTGTTAATATTGTTTTTAAATTAATTTTTTGCAAATATAATTTACCTTTTTTGTCGAATATATTTTTTATTTTGACTTAAGCGCACCCTAGCAGTTCCATTTATTGCAAATCTATGTCATACTGTGACTTACCGCTGGAAAAGCCCTTATGTCTACACTTTGGAATTGATATGTAAAGCAGTATGGTTATATTTTGGGCTTTACAGAATCCAATATTCAGATACAATTTTTGAATTTGATATTGATGGGTCGATTATGGATAGCAATGCAACCACGAATCGGTTACCAGCTGGCAACACAACTGTAACGAAAATTTGTATTACGAATGGCAACTATCGTCAGTTGCTTTAGAGTTATCGTTAATCGAAATTTGACAGTTCGACAACCAGCAAGCGGCTGTAAACAAGCTGTGCGAGTAAAATTAAATTATTAAAATAAAGAGTTTTAAAGAAAATACAGCAATAAAGCTAACTTCATCACAATTAATTGTTTAAGAGGAAGAGAAGTGCATGAACTCGGCCTAATCAGGCGATATGTAAAGGATAATTCCAATCTTCTAGAGCTACCGCGTGCACTGTAAGCAAAAGTAAATGCTTTCAAGTTTTTTTTTATTATAGTTTTGTGTTCATTTCCAAAGCATATTGAGGACTTCCAAAAGAAGCTGTAGTATAATTGGTTAATAAACAGCTGAACCACTTCGTTCAACTTCAATACCTCTGCTCATAAAAGCTTGCGCTGCTCTTCGATTTTTCGCAGAAGGAAGTGCCACAGCAATGACTTCAATTTGGAAAACTTGGTGTGTCGGTACTTTTAAAAGAGGTGCTTCTGTCGCCTGTATACACACTTTGTAGCACTGCAGTTGTCAGTTGAAAGTTGCCAGTTGCCATCTGTAATATCGTTGTGGCAACTAGCAACGCAACTAAAGTTCGATTGCTATCGATAATCGACCCATGATATTGGGAATATCGGGTCTTTTTATCCCGATAATAATGGGTACCCGATATTTTATAGCGATACTACAGATTACTATTTCGGTACTTTCGGTCCGCTATCGTGTCCCTACTTGTTAATCATTAGTCGAATAGCAAAAGTTGTTTGAAAAAATGATAGACTTCACTTAATCGACCAACCGTTTCTTTTCGACTTTTTCAACTAACCGCTCACAAAAAACTAGTTGAAAATCCGTTCATTTCGATTTATCGACTAGTTGTTTTGTTTGAGTAAAAGTTTTTTTTTGTATAAACCCAACCGCGCTAATACAAATAATTTTATGGTGAAAAACTGTCACTATTCGAATAATTTCGTTTCGTCGATTTTCAGACTACTCGATAGTGAGCGGTTT